AGAAAGAAAGAAAAGAAAGAGAAAGAAGAAAGGGAAGGGAAGGGAAATGAAGGAAAGGGAAGAGAAGGGGAGGGAGGGGAAGGGAGAAGGAAGGAAGGGAGGGAGAAAGGAAGGAGAAATTGCAGTTTGAAACATAGAGCCTATGCGTGCTCTTTCTCAAGTCCATTTAATGCCAGAGAAATTGAACATCTCTCTCCTCCCTTAAGTATGGCAGTGATTCAAGTTGCTGCTTCCTTCTGAGAGATTTTGTGGGGCTAAAGAGTTGCATATAAAATGGGAAGAACAAAGCTTTATTCTACCTTCTGAAGGAATCTACTTATTTGACATTTAGATGTAGGTGTTTGTAGATGGTCACTGTAGAAAAGTCAGGTAAACTGTATAAGCAAAAAGAACATCAAAAACCACTTGTAGTCCTACAGCTTGGTGTGGTCATTGGCACCAGTGAAGTAGAGATAGTTTTAAGAAGAAAACAAGGAAGTGGAAAATGTAGTGATTAAATGTTGGAATTTGGAATTTAGGTACAGTTTGTTCTGGATTTGCTGAATGTCTTAGCTTTATTCAAAAGAAGAAGTTTTGTCTAGCATGCCTAAGGCCCTTGGTTTGATTCCTACCACCACAAAAGAATGCATAAGTAAGTAAATGAATAAATAAATAAATGTTGTATAGGATTTAATTTTCCTTAAAATGAAAATAAGATGACATGGTCATTGTTATGCAGAAGTGAGCATATTTATCTTCCTGTTCCTTCCTCCCCTAGGGGAATTATCAAACTACCTGGAAAGGACAATAGAGTGAAGTGCTCATGGGAGAGGTACAAAGGAAAAATCTGAGAGGGACATTTCTGAAGTTAATCATGGAGGAGAGAATGCTGGGAACACCCAGGCAGGATTTGTTGTTCCTCTGTCTCAGCAAGGCCAGACCAGGGGGTCTGTGGGCTGCAGACTTTAAGATGAGCGGCATTTGACCACCCTTCGTGTTGCTTCTAGCCTTTCAGGGTGCAGTCTGTGTGAAGTGGGAGCAGCAGAGCCTACTCCTGTTCCATACTCATTTCCTCAGTTGTTCCTGGCAGCTGTGAGCCAGGCATCAGTGATCAGAGGAGGAGGCCCAGGAGCAGCAATGATCCAGCAGCAACAGGAGGTGGAACGTGGTACATATTCAGGACAAGTAGCCCCATGTAACATCCCATGTGGGATGCTCAGGCCCCCACCTTGGCCAAACATCAAGGCTATGTGTTGTTCATTAATCCATGAGCATCTGGGTCTCAGGACTTTGAAGGTAGGAGTCACCCATCATAAACCACACACTGCCCACAGTAGCCGAGAAGGAAATCAAGCATGGTGAATGATTAGCAGTCTGTGGACACAAAGTACCTGGAAAACTCTTTCATTGGGAAAACAGCTTCGTCACAGGAGTTTCTCACAGGCTGATTGTTCTTGAGGGTCTCTCAGATGGCCACTGCCATTTTACCTGCATCATGAGATGCCAGAGCAAGCAAGGTGATCCTCAGAAATTCAGTGAATATGAATTTATTAACTACCATGGATCCCTCTGATTGTCTCACAGCATATAAAGGATGTGATACAGTTGTTATCCTCAAAGAGCTTATACTTTAGTTGAAGGCACACCTCTACACACACACCCATCTTAGAGAAATACTTAGACTAACTGCCTCATAGAAATTAAATGTTACATATTTTAAGTTTCCTAAGTCATATTAAATAGCTATAAAAAGGTTAGGTGGGCCCACTGCAGCCCTGTTGCACAGGCACCTGCCAGGGTGGGAGGCCGCGCAGGTCGGTTGCCCTCTGGAGTTGGGAGCTGGAGACCAGGAGCACCTTGCACAATACCTGGGGAGACCCCCTGGAGGTCATTCTTCCCCTGACTGTACAGGCTGAGGTGGAGGAGTAAGTGGAGCTCCGGAGAGGTCTGCACCAAGACTTCATGGATTACATGGGTGCCCAATATTCAGATTCTGTAGAACCGCCTTCATGGAGAAGGTACATGTCTAGTTACCTGCCTGGGACACTTCGCACCTGATGGTGCTGAGACTGACTGGCAGGCCGAGGACTTCATCTACATGTTCCTGCCGCCGTATTGATGGTTGGGGAGAGGACACTAAGTGGTTGCAGGGTCTCAATATGCTGGGAGACCAGGGAGAACACCCCTCTGCTTTCTTAGACAAGAGGCATTGATAAAGCATACTTCCCTGGATCCCAGTTCAGTAGAGGGACAAACTATTCTTGAGGATGGGTTTGTTGCTCAGTCAGCCCCAGATAATGGAAAGGAGCTGCAGAGGATGGCTTTTGGCCTGGATGGCTCACTTGAGATGTTGGTGGGAGTTGCCTCCTCAGTGTTCTGTGGCCCTGGCAAGGGGGAGGCCAAGGGGAAAGGGCAGAGAGACCGAGAGGGGGGCTCGTCAACTGCATTCGTCTGCTGCCACTGTCGGCGGCCAGGCCACCTAGGGAGGGACTGCCCTGGGAGGCCCCCTGAGCCATGCCCTGACTGTGGGAGTGGCCACTGGAGGTCGGGCTGCCCTCTGGAGTGGGGGCCCCAGGGCTTGGACCCCTCCTACCAGCTGGTCCAGCAGAAATGGAGGGGCCCAGGGCATACTCTGCCTTCTCCCTCTGGCTGGACTATTGTCTCCAAGGAGGAACCCCGCGAAATCATGACTATAGAGGAAAAAGTGGACGGCCCATTGCTGGACACTGGTGCTGGTCTCTCGGTCCTTCTTTTCAGTCCTGGCCTTCCTTCCAGCCATCATACCTCAGTGAGGGGAGTCACTGATGAGGAGGTAATTCCCTATTTTTTGCAACCCTTGGGCTGTAACTACTTGTTGGATCTTTCTTGCATATCTTTGTTTTCCTGAGAAGCCACTTTGAGGATGCCAGCATGTATTGCAGCAGCCAGTGATGATTTCCTACCAATCTGTCCATAGCTATGTTTGTATTGTTCCTATGCTATTTCGTAAATGGATGTATGTTTGTTACTATGTGTTTTCAACAACAACCATTGAGAATAGTCAATGATGATTTGATTGATCACTCATGTATAGCTCTATTTGTTTTCCCTAGAGACCACTTTGGAGAATCCAAGCTATAGTATACCAACCATTGATAATTTCCTGCCATTTTTGTCTGTAACTCACTATTATTTGTCTATTTGTTTTCCTGAGAAGCTATCTTGAAGATACCAATAGGTAAAATAACAACCATTGATAATGTCCTAAAAAAAAAAGTTAATCTACATTGCACCATTATGAACTAAAATATTATTTCAATAATTTATATATATAAAATCATGAATTTTATACTAAGTTTTCAAACTCCTGTGTATGTTTTACAATTATACTACATCTGAGTTAAGACAAGCCAGACTGCAAGTTCTCAGTCACCACATGTGACTAGTAGCTACCAGACTGGACTGCACATATTTAGATAACATAGAATGACACGTTCAGTGTTCTAAAGTTTTAGTGAAAAGAACAGTTCATTGTAGGGATAGAAGTTTAGTCACTAATGGTACCTTGAATGGTGCACTATAAACTTAGTGACTGTAGGATTTCAGAATGATATTTTCCCAAAGCTTATTTTAGCTCCTTT